AGTTTTAGTTTCCATTATTACTGAAGCAAGAACCCACACTAACCAGTGACAGAACAGAGAATGGAAAATAATTTCTATGAAAAACAAGAAGCAAAAAAAAAAAAAAAATTAAAAGAAGAGAAAAGAAAAACAAGAAGCACAGGACAGTATGACTGAACATTGATGCCAGTACAAGTGAGATACTTACACTTTTATTTAGTAATAATTTTTAAAACTAAATAATAAATGGGCTGGGGAAATAGCTCGGTAGAATAAGCACCTGCCTGGCAAGCACAGGGTCCTGAGTTCAATTCCTGGTACTGAAAAAAAAAATTAAATAATAAAGTACTATAAGCATACTGCAAAGCCCTAACTACAGTAATTATTTGTCTCCCACCCAAGACTAGGATATGCTTTACTGTATATTTTAAGTATGTACTTTATCTTTTGACTTTGCTTATTATCTTTAATCATCACTAAAATGTAAGCTCCATGAGAACAGAGACTTTTTGGTGATATTGGGAATTTCACTTACGATCTCATGCTTGCCAGGCAGGCACTCTACCACTGAGCTATATCTCCAGCCCGAGAATGGAGATTTTTAAACTTTTTACTCACTGTTGTATCCTGGGAACCTAGAACAGTATAAAGTACAATAGAAATGTTTTTAGTGATTAAATGAATGCTTCCTGCATTATATTTATTTCTATTTGATAGATTCTATTTATTTCTCTTCAGTAGATTACTACAAGTGGGATTGTTTCACCTCTAGCAAGTACTGCCAAACTGCCTATAAATTTACACTGTGACAACTGATATCTAAAGGTTTGGTATTGTCATATTGTCTTATTTTTGCCAAACTGGTAGATATGAATGATGTTTCATTGTTATTCTATTTTGCATCTCCTTTGTTATTAGTAAGATTTAGCATTTTTTCCTTATTTTTTGATGTGCTTAATAATAGCCCTTGCTCATTTTTATTGTTATCTTTTTTACTTTTATTATTTATTTGTTTATTTTGTATT